CAGTGCCTGCCTGGCAAGTGCAAGGTCATGAGTTCAATTCCCAGTACCAAAAAAAAAAAAAAAAACAAACAAACAAACAAACAAAAAAAAAAACTCAAAAAGTAGATTGATCACTTCAAAGAGACTTTCCTTGTGAAGTAGGGCAGGGAAACAGAACAACAGGGAAATAACTAAGTGGTTATCGTATTATTTTAGGTTACCACTACTATGTAAGGATTAAGGCAGAGGTTACTTCATTATCATGTCATTTTGTCCAGAACAGGGAAGTTATATAGAGACAAAATGGTGATATAAGGCTTTGGGTATGGGTGAGAATGAGGGCATGGCTGTTACTGGGCTCCAAATTTAACCTGAAAATTTTGTAAAATTAATGTGATGATGGTTGCTTAAATCGAATATACTAAAACTATTGAATTGTGCACTGTAAAAGTGTGAGCTGTATGATATCTAAAATATATTTCAGTGAAGTCAGACATGGTGGTGTGCACCTGTTATCGCAGCACTTGGGATCCTGGAGCTGGAAGATTGTCAGTTCAGAGCCACCCACCCTAGGCTATGTAGTGAGTTCTAGGCCAACCTGAAGTACATCTTGGGACCCTGTATTTTAAAACAACAACAATAATAATATATACAAACCTGTGTATATATGTACACATCATACTTTATGTATAGACATAGTTTGAATATAGATATGGTTTGTCCCTCCAGAAGTCATATAGAATTTTAATCCCCAGTATAAAATAATAATGGCTAAAAGCAGGTAAAACCTTTTAAGAGGTGATTAGGGCTCTGCCTTCATGAATGGATTAATCCACTCATGATTAATAAGTTAGTAGTTTAGCTCAAAATTGTTTCTGCTAAAAAGCCAATTTTGTCAGTTTGCTCATATGTTCCCTTGTCCCCACGTAGTACCCTGCATCACTTTTGGAGCCCTGCTAGCAATATGGTTCGTGAACCTTGAATTAGAGTTGTGAGTGAAATAAATCTTTATCTCTGAGGCAGTCTGTGTTATTGTTACTAGCAACAGAAAATGGAATAAGACAATGTGGCTTTTGTTGTGTTTTGAGAAGATAGGCATTGAATACAGGGCTTTTACACTGAGCTATAACTTCAGATCTTCAGCTGTTTTTATTTTTTGAGATAGGTTCTTGCTAAGTTGCCCAGACTGGCTTCAAACTTAAAATCTTCCCGCTTCAGCCTTGCAGAGTGCTGAGAGCACAAGTGTGTACCTACTGGTTTGGCTTGACCATGTGGTAATTTTGAAGTATACTGAAGATATGTGAAGTCCCACAGCTCTACTAAACAAGAAGAATACTATGTGCGGGCTTAACCACAAGGTTTCAACACCCTCTGTGCTCCTGTACCCTAACACTCCCCCTCAAGGAGCCCCAAATTAACACCTGCTAAAACTTCTGTAAAATTAGCTTCTGCTTCTGTAGTCAGCTTGCCTCTGATCCCCATCCAACTAAAACAAAGGCATAAAACCTGTCTTACCCCAAGGCTCAGGGCTCAGAATTTGGAGTACTTTACACCTGTGGGCCAGCTGGCTTAATAAAACTTGGGTCGCTCCACTTCTCTGGAATGCTGCTCATGTTTCCCCACAGGTAAATCTGACTTTGCTGTAACACTGATATTTTGTGATTGATGATATATTTAGTATGGGTTTAGTAGGATCTGTTTGTGGTTCATAGTCATTCCTGGGGATATGTAGTTATTGTCTGTTAGCCTAAATTGCTGTAATAGTGTTACAGCTCATTAAAAAAGGTGTTTATAGCTCTTAGAAGGTGTTTACAGCTCCTAATAAGTGTTGCAGCAGACTGAAACCAACAAATCCAGTGGCACCTGGGGTTTTGGAGGAAGGTGTACAGCTTTATTCACACCAGCAGGCTTGGCTGAAATCTGTCACCAAAGAGCCAAGCACTCAACTCTCACGGAGCAGGAATTTTAATAGGATTTACAACCAAGTAGGAGGTGCAAGAACAGAGTGTTTGCCATTAGTTGATTGGACAGAAAGTTACAGTGAATTCCACCTTCTTTACTTACAAGTAAGACAAGTTAGAGGTACATGATTGGCCAAGAAAGTTACACTGAATTCCATCTTCTTTGCATACAGCAGAGACCAGGGATAAGAGGTTACATAAGTTAGAGGAAAAAACAGAAACTTAACAGAGAGCAAAAGGCTTACTGAAGGCCAGCAAGGATGCTGAAGAGGCGGGGTTGTTCCTATCTGGGAGCAAGTGATTTTTCTACTTTAAATTGTGATAGGATTATCACAATTGGTGGTTGACATCTAAAGTAAATGAGTAGAAAGCAGGTGAAATTTTGACATTTGTGGAGCTAGAGGTGGCAAATGAGAAATTTCCAGTTAATGATATTTCAAACAATAAGGGTAGAATTCATTCATGAGTTTATAGTCAGAGGAGAACTAAGTGAGCTCAAGGCCAGCCTGACCTGCAGGTTGAGACCTTGTCTCAAAAAGACAACAATTTGTTTTTTTTCATGTCAGAAGTGTCACTGGGCTGGGAGAGAGATTTCTAAGACCGAAATAAGGAACCTTTTTATAGCAGGTTTGTTGAGTACTAGGAATGAACCTAGGGCCTTAGCACTGCACTTACTACATCTCTAGAACTTTGTAAATTTTTATTTCTTTTTGTTGTTCATTTGGTTTGATTTGGTTTGGTTTGGTTTTGAGACAGAGTCTCACTGTATAGTTCAGACTAGCCTTAAACTCACTATGTAGCCGAGGCTGGCCTCAAACAAACAATGATCCTCTGGCCTTAGCTTCCCAGTTGCTGGGATTACAGCTGTGCCCCACCACCACAGGTGTTATTTTTTTTAATTTGAGACAGTGTTTCAGTCACTGAGTTGCCCAGCCTAGGCTCAATCGTGAAATTGTTCCTGCCTGAGCCTCCCAGGGTGCTGGGATTATGTATCAGGTCATACCTAACTGAAAACAGTACAAAAATGTATTCATAAAGAGGCAATCACATAATTTGCAGTCAGTGGAAAGATAAAATTCTATTGGTATATCAGGCCCCCAGTAATGAAAATATGCTGTATTGTGGGTATTGTATTGTTTATAGATATGTAACGTTTTCAAAATGCAATTTGTTGTCATTTTTTTTTCTAAATTATTCACCTCAGGTCTCACAATACCTAAACTGTTAAATGATATAGTAAAGAATGTAGTCAAAGAAAGCTTCAAGTTAGGAAATAGACAATGATAAATAAAAACGTTGTTCAGGTAGATTTAGTTAACCTAAGCTTGGTAATTGCTTTATAATTTGTTAGGTAAGCGACCTATCATGTATCATATACATTAATTCATTTTGCTTGCCTTCATTATGCCTTTGGTTGGAACCTGACAGTGTTGCTTTTTTTCCAACCATATACCTACTCATGGTCCAGATCAAGCGTGACGTGACTACTGAGGGATAAACAATAAAATGTTTTTACTATGCATTGAGTTGCATTGGATTGGGTTTTGTTTTGTTTTGTGACTTGATTTGTAGTTCAGACTGACCATGAACTGACTATGTAGCCCAGGCTGGCTTTGAACTCGTGGCAATCTTCCTGCCTTCTTCTCCCGAGTGCTGGGATTACAAGTGTATGCCACCATGCCTGCCTAGATTTTCTTCAATGAGAGAAATAAGTAAGAATTTTAAGAGTTAAGTAGACTATCTGGAAAATTAAATTGGTTTGCTTATTTGAAGTAGTGTTATGCCATATGTTTCAGTACTTTTTAATACCTAAGATTTGGGAATTATTTCTGTAACACCACTGTTTATTGTGGAAACTTCAATATTAGGAAAAGTTAAGTTGAGCCATTATTTGTAGAACATGTAATATTCTACAAAAGATCATTATTACATATATAATTTAATTTAATTTATATATTGTCTAAGCTAAGACTTACATGATTAAATCAAAAGTTAATGGTTGGTTATGGCACTAAGGTGCTATAACAATGTAACCAGATAAATTGTCAGGTTTAGTATCCAGTTCAGGTTTATCACAAATACAAAATTTGAATTTATATAATTTACATTTGTAAGAAATTAAAATTATAGTGATATTTTGGTTGTCAGTATCAGTTTTTTTGAAGTTTGTGTTCAAACACCAAAAAGTCTAAAAACTGACTTTTTTCCCATAGGAAAAAATGGAAAACCAAGTAATTAGTTCTGATGCCCCCAAATTACACTCATACATTCATTTTTCTGGACTTTAACAAATTTCACAGTGATTTCTCTTTATTGTGGTTACCAGTTTTCCTCTTAGCTTTACCGCTTGTACCACTAACTTCCTTCAGAGCTATGGTTATGGTAATTTACACAAAGTACATTTAAAAAAACACAATGATGAACATGTTAGTTCATTAACACAAGCACAATGTATTGTCTGGGTGAGAGCAGCGCTTAGACTGAACCATCACCCCTTTGTGTCTATGGGGAGACATAACACCTGACCCACCCTTGGCCCTGTACAGTTTTTTTTCAAGTTTGATTTTTGGTTCGACTATTGAGCAGTTACAAACACCAAGCAGATTTAAAAAAAAAAACAAAACAAACAAAAAAAAAACCTGTTGTTTAAGTAGTGGAAAATTTGAGCTTGGAGCCATTTGAAAACAAAAGTATCACTGTGTTTGTATTTAGTGGCAGATGAAAGTGATTAATTTCCAGTAAAAAGAATTAAACTCTGAGTTGAAAAGTTCAGTGGTTTGAATGTGTGCATTAATACATTTTTTGAAAATTTATGCCACTACCTGTTAACTATTACCCAGCCTTAGACTTAGATTTGAGGGGGCTACCAAGTGATACAACAGAAGGATAGATTAAATGCCTTTAAGAAGGTTCCTAATAGTATATTATGTGAGATAGCAACTGTATTAAAAAAAAAAAAGGAAAAAAGTAAACTGGAGAGTCTCATTGTTATTTTAGTGTTGTAAATAAATAACTAATTCACTGGAGAAATGCATTTAAATATGATATCTTAAATTCTAGGATATAAAAGATGGCAAGTCCAGATGGAAGTAAGCGGAAGATATTAAAAGCCAAAAAAACAATGCCTACAAGCTGCCGGAAGCAAGCAGAGATCCTGAATAAGGCAAAGACTACTGAAGTTCTGAAAACAACAACAGTTGAGAGTAATGTTCCAAGTGGTTATCAGAATTTAAGTACTGAAGTCATAACTAGAGACTGCAGACATCCTGATACTGTTAATTCTTCATTGGACTGTAAGATAAATTCAGCACTGTTACTAAAAAGTATAGGATTCCCTCAGAAATTAATAAAACCTGTAGAAAAAATTGTTCACTTAGAAACAAGATTTGAACATAGTGGTGAACAAGTTGTAAGTTCTTACAAGAAGCCAAGAAAATCAATAGATTCTCCCAGCCAATTCTTTATACAAGAAGTGAAAGAGAAATTCAGTACTTCTGAAACTCATTTTGAATATAAGGCAAATGTAACGTCATCCTTTTTTCAAAATGAACAGAATTCTAATCTGAAATCCATTTGTCATTCACCTACTATTTTGTGTGATGTAGTTCAAAATCTCTTGGATGATAATAGAAGCAACAAGATACCTTCCAATTTAGAAGCAAACTCCAATTCAGAGTCACATGATAAAAGGCAAAATGACATTTTAAGTTCAAACTCATGTTGTGTGCCGGCTGCGAAAACGCCTAACTTGATGAATTTAGGTAGTTCCAGCAAGTGTGCTTCTAACATTTTGAAAACGAAAGAATCGACTAGAACCCTATACTCCAGCATTTCAGATTGTGAAAATACAGACTCAAAGTGGCAGTGCTTACTCAACACTGATGGTAATAACAGTAAGTATATACTTAGATATCTTTTGGAGAAATTGAGAGAGTCACTTTCCTGTAGGGGATTTTAATCTCTCAGATATACAAATAATAGAATACATACAGGCAGGAAAAAGATAAATGAATAATTATTTCAGAATATCTCAGTCATGAACTGTTTCTGGTGGGGAGGGGAAAAGATACTGTTAAAGGAGAAAATTACAACAAACCTGGTTTTGTAGGACTTAACCGGCTTTATTTGTAGTCCTAGAATTGGGAAGTAATGAGGACCAAAAATGGTTCAAGAAACCCTGCCACCAGATGGACACGTCATTTTGGTAATCGAAGGGAAGTAAGGTACAGAGTCAGCCTGGTTGCTTACAGTTTACATCTGTTATGTTGCATATGTTTTGGTCACTTTATCACTTCTGATTTGAGATAGCTATATTTTATTTATTTATTTGGTACTAGGAATCAAAACTCAGGACCTTGCATTTGCCAGGCAGGCACTTGTGCCTGTTGAGCTATATCCCTGGTGACAGCTACATTTTATAAGATTAGGGTACAGTTGATTTGTTAGAGCAATTTTAGAGTTACTGGTGGTGTGACCCCTGGGGGTTTTTTATAGAGGAACCCTTGACGGTGAGTCATTCTGGCATTTGAGAGACATCTGTGTACGTGATCAGTTTGCAGTCATAACCAAGCTGGGGGGACCTTTACTTGAAGGGTTTATTCCAGAGTCAATTTATCTGCCTACTTATTAATTTATTTATTTTTATTTTGTTTTTTTGAAATAGGGCTTCACTATGTAGTTTAGGCTGGCCTTAAACTCACTTTGTCGCCCCGGCTGGCCTTGAACTTGCAGCAGTCCTCCTGCCTCAGCCTCCCAAGTGCTGAGATTACAGATGTGTGCCATCACGCCCAGCTCTGCCTCTTTAATAAGAGTGACAGCAGCCACTAGAGCATGGAAGGAGGCAAGGTGGCCATCCAGCCACCACAGTGTCCAGTTGTTTAGATAGGTACTCCACTGGTCTCTGTCAGGAACTCACAGTATGACTCAGAACACCCAAAGCCACATGGTCCTTTTCATATACAAAGAGTTTATTTAAATTCTTGGGCTTACATTTGGTAGCCCCAGTGCAGGGGGGCTAAGGAGTAGTCATTTGATCTCTTTGAAGGCTGTGTCTTGTCTGATTACTATTTTAGGTGTTGATTTTCCAGCCTGGTGAAGACAGCCTAGAGGGGCCTAGCTTTTTCTGCAAACCTTGGGATCTAGATCCTGCAGAATCCAGCTACTCACAGGAACTCACAGTCTCTTTTTGTTATTTGACCTCGGGGTAGAGCAGATGACCTGTTTTCTCTCTGTCCCCAAGAAGTGGTGTCCGTTAGTTACAATAAACCCTAAGTAATGAAAAGAAGGCCAACATATCCATCTCTTTTTCCAGGACACTTTGTGTCCTGTGTGCTGGAGTAGCTGAAGGAAGGCCTGTGTCCCTTCCCGGCAATCCTGCTTTATTTCAGTTACTAGCAAGAGGTCATCAACATACTGGAACAAAATATAGTTTAGTTGGGCTTCCAGGAAAGTGGCCAGGTCAGCAGCCAAGGCCTCCCCTAACAAGGTGGGGGGATTTTTGGGGGGGTACCGGGAATCAAACTCATGACCTCAGGCTTGCCAGGCAAGTGCTTAGGCTGCTGAGCTATATCCCCAGCCCAAGGTACGGGAATTCTTAAAGCCCTGGAGCAGTCTGGTCCAAGTCAGTTGAATTTTTCATTTTGGGATAGTCCCATTGAAAAGCAAATAGAGGCTGACTTTGAGTAGCTTCTGCTCAAGCAGAAGAAGATGTCTTCAAGGTCTAGGCAGGTAAACCAGGCTGCCTTAGGTGGAAAAATGCTCACCGAAGTGTGTGGGTTTGGGCCAACCAGGTGCTGGGTTAGAGTGGTGGTGTTGACTGTTTGGAGTTCTTTCACAAGTCACTAGCCACCACTGGGTTTCTTGACAGGCAGTAGGGAGGAATTTTAGAGTTTCTAACATTTTATCAGGATTCCTGCTTGCTTCAGTCCGTTTATATGTTCCAGGATCCAATCTGTGCTTCCCTGGCTATCCATACTGTCTCAGCCTGCTAGGGTTGGTTCCTAGCTTAAGCTACATAGGATGGGCCTGAATTTTGGCCAGTCCTGTGGAGACTTTTCAGCCTATACCTCTGAATATGCTTCAAGCAAGTCTGGAGGGTTAAGATCTCTTTGATCTGAGGAGTGTAGTCACCATTCTTCTCATGGAATTGTCACTGATGGAATCAGATGTTCCTGGTTATTGAGGGTCAGGCTGGTGGGCTCCTCAGGTGAGGTTACTTGGGCTCCAAGTTAGGTTAGAAGATCTCTCCCCAAGAGGTATATGGGGCAGTTAGGCAGGTAGAAAAATTCATGAGTTACTTTATGTCCTTCCAGGCAACAAGATTAAGGCTAGCAGAAGGGGCAGGCTACTTGGGACCAGGTGGCCCCCACAATGGTAACCGTCTTGTCGGTAAAAGTGTAAGGGTCGTGACACTCGCCGCGTGAAGGAAGACTCCAAGAGACGCTCTCTCATGCAAAAAGCAAGGGGATTTTTATTCACCAAGCATGCGTGGGGCTCACTGAACTCGCAGGAACAGAGAGCCCCGAGCCAGGTTAGCTCTGGCTTTTTAACCCGAAAAACCACAAAGGAGGGGAGTTGCAAGCGTCATTACAGAAGCAGATAGCATTGGTTAGTTCATATTGTTCTTTACACTTATTGATTCCCTATGACGGGGGGGGGGCCGCGGGGGTGTGTGTGTGCAGGAATGCGGAGGTCTTCCGCTCATGGACAGAGGAGGGGAAGGCGCTCTGTGTCAACACAAGATGTTCTTCCTCCCAAGGACAGGAGATAATGTCTGGACATTCCCAGCGCCTCCTTTCCAGGCAATCTCATGCTGCTTATCTATGGGTCAGAAGCCAGCTGGTTCCCACAAAAATCTTTACTTTTACATTTCTACAAAAGGTACAACTGGGGTGGTCTCAACTGAATGATCTGCTTCTGTGTTAACCAGAAAAGTCACTGGTTGGCCCTCAACTGTCATCATGACTGTGGGCTCCCCAGGGGGCCAAGATTATTGGAGCCCCATCTGTCCTAATCTGAGTCAATTTCTGTGAGTCCAGTCAGGATAGATACTACTCATTTGGGTTGGTATGGAGGGCTGATGTGGCTGGGGACCTTTTGATTAAATGTGTCCCCCTTACAGTTGGGGCATCGTTCTTTCAGTGTCCAGTCTTTGCAATATGCACATTGGTTTGGAACCAAGAGGAAGGACCAGGTCTCATGTTGGTTTCCCACCTTGTGTGGCAGTCCTGGTTTCCGAGTGGGGTCTCATCTTCTAAGCATAGCTGCAAGGAGAGAGTTCTTGTTTAATTTTTCTGTCTGCCTCACATTGGGCTTCACAGTCTTCACTGGCAAAGACCTTTGTAGTAACTTCAAGTGGTCGAAGCATTATGTTCATGCTAGTGAATCCTTCAAGTTTCTGAAGTTTGCACTGAATGTCGGGGGGTGGACTGGACTATGAAGGCAGCGTTGACCATTTGTTGGTTTTCCGGGGCCTCAATGTGAAAAGGTATGATTTGGAACACTTTATGGATTCTCCAGGTGACTCATCCAGCCTCTGAGTCACTGTGATCGTTTCTGACTCGTTGGTGGGCTTTTTGGCACCAACCTGAACCTCTTAGGATGGCCTCCCAATATCTTGAGAGAAAGGATTGACCTGGGGTGGTTATGAACGTCCCATTCTTGCTTGTTGTCAGGGGCTGCCTCTTTTGCCCAGTTCGTTGGATTGAGATTGCCAGCAGCCAGACCCTAGTGATACTTCCTGGCCTTGGTCAGGATTCTGCGTCACTCCTTGGTGTTGAAGATGGTGAGAAACAACTGACAATAGTCATTCCAGGTGGGCAGGTGAGTCTGGAAGATGGATTCCATGAGGTCGATGAGGGCTTGAGGCTTTTCTCAATAAGGTGGAGTATGTTGTTTACCGTTCAGATCAGTGGTGGTGAAGAGGTGATAGTACAGAGTTGGCTGTCCAGGCTGAGGGGTGCCATACTGCAGGGTACAGGTTACAGGTTAAGAGTGTGGATTTCACAGAGAGGTATCTGGATGAAAGTAGCTGAGCTGACCAGGAGCACTTGAACAGAGAGGTTGGAGGAGGCTGCTCTGCCACTCGAAGCCCATGGCTGAAGGGGCTGGCATGATTGGTTCCCAGTCAGGGAACCAAATGTCACAAGTTTTGATGTACCAGTGGCATGGGAAACACAAGGAGCATTCTGGAGCAGTGGAGGGAACGAAGCACTCCAAATTGTGAGCCCTGAACTTTGGGGAAGCTAGGACTTTATATCTTTCAGTTGGTTTGGGGCAGAGGCAAGCTGAGCAGAAATTTACCGAAGCAGGTTAGCAGGTGTTGTTACCTTTTGAGGTTAGGGTAAAGCTGGGAACAGTGGTTACAGAAGTCCTTAAATCTTGTAGTTACAAAGCAAAACAGAACAAGAATAACACATTACCTATTGGGAGGGGCCTGGGGTGAACCACTTGATTGTGGTTATAGAAAACTAGGACGAGAGAAAATTCGGGCTCGGGGGAGGACTAGGGTCTCAAGATGGTCTATTTTGTGCATTACGCTATGTACAGAAAAGTATTTAGACCAAACTAAATACACAGGCAGTTTTAGGTCAAACCTGATTCCAATTTAACAAAGTTTGTCTTACCAGAAGTGGTTTAACTTAACAAAGAAGGGAATAATCACTTCTTGTGCATAAAAGGTGATATATGGCAGTTTTTTTATTCAAACATATCTTGTTGTTTGAAAGTTTTTTTTTTTTAAGTGCGGGTTTTTTTTTAAAATGTTGATGAAGCTGTTTCTCTTCATTGTTTTGGTTTTGTTTTGTTCAGACACGATCTCACTGTAGTTTAGTCAGCATTAAATCTGCTTTGTAGCCCAGGCTGCCTTTGAACTTGAGATCCTTCTGCCTCAGCC